CCTTTCGAGCTCGACACTGGCCAACACCCCAGGATGGGAATGGAACCCACACGCACATCCGAGGTAGAAGCCGCTGACGCCTTCTCATCGAGGATGATGAAGATGCAAGAAGAGGCAAAAGCGGCACTAGAGCACGCAGCAGATGAGATGGCCCGCTACTACGACTGGAACCGCGAGGTGGCCCCCACGTACCAAGAAGGTGACTGGGTCTGGCTCAGCACCCAGAACTACACAACTGATCGCCCAACCAAGAAGCTAGACCACAAATGGACTGGCCCCTTCACGATCATTAAAGTCGTCTCCCCCACTGCCGTCAAACTCCGGCTCACTGCCCGACAAAGAGGGATCCACCCAGTCGTATCTGTGACGAACATCAGACCGCACCACCCTGATGAAATCGCGGAACGCCCCACCGAACCCCACCCTGGCCCAGACCTCGTAGATGGAGAAGAGGAGTATGAGGTCGAGAAAATCCTGGATTCTAAGTGGCTACACCGAAAACTCTGGTACCTGGTAAAGTATACAGGCTGGCCACACTCAGAAAACCAGTGGCTCACGCGCGACAACCTGACCCACGCCTCCGACCTAGTCGAGGAGTTCCACCGAGCGCACCCCCACGCCCCAGGGAGAGAGAAGGAGAACCGCCCAGCCACTTCGAGGCGAAGCGGCTTAAGGGGGGGGTGATGTCAGGGCACACCCGCCTGACCCCGCACCACGCCGCCCTACTCCGCTCCCCCGCTACCACTCCCTGTTTCTTCTTTCCCCTTTCCTTCTTTCTTTCTTTCTATTTCCATTCCATGGTCGACTTCCCCTTCTCTATGTAATACTACACACTTAACCCCGCTCCCCGATCGCCGTGCCCGCCACGCGCATTCCCGCTCACAGAGCGGCACACCTCCGGGATCTCCCACGGAGATACCCAGGGGAGTGCGGCTGTGCACGGGGATGACGTGGCTCCTCCCACATGACCCCAGCTGCATGTATATAATAGCACCTGGGGTGGGAACAGAAGAAGCAGCCTTCTTCTCAACTTCCCACTTCAGACTAAGTGGTCGGGGACGCTCACCCTGTGACAGGATCACTACTACACACAGCTGCTACTCATCCTACTGAGTCCCGCACGCAGGGACCTCGCCGCTTTCGGAGCTGTCCCTGACACTGGACCCCCATCTTTACCACCTCCAGAGTCCTACCTTATCTCCGTCCGCTCTGATACTCACCTCGGACTGAACATCACTCCTCTCACCACTCTCCCCTCTTACTCCTCCTCTTACTTCTCACAACACCTCCACCCTTCCATCACTCTCCTACCCTACTTCCGTCCACTCCAATACTCACCTTCAGACCTGACACCTTTCCTCTCCTCCACTCCTCACCCCGCTCCCCTCTTCTCTCTCCTCCCTCTGACCCTCTTCTGCCAAACCTCCACCAAGTTACGACCTTCCACCACTGTCCCATACCCTGTACTTGGACACCGCTTGTACCTTCGCTCCGAGATTCCATCATAGTCCCAACCTCGGACTTTGACTCCACCTTGGCTTAAGTCCATTGCATTGGTGACCTCATACTACGTAAACACCATTGCCAACATTCCTCAGACTTTCAACCCCACCTCCATAACCTCCATAACTCCACAACCTCCATAAGCTCCACAACCTCCATAAGCTCCACAACCTCCATAAGCTCCACAACCTCCATAAGCTCCACAACCTCCATAAGCTCCACAACCTCCATAAGCTCCACAACCTCCATAAGCTCCACAACCTCCATAAGCTCCACAACCTCCAAGCTCCACGGATCATACTCGGCCCTTTCGCCCTTTGTAATGTATCTTTCACACTTTCCCCTCATCCTTATTTGGACTGCTGCTTCTCTCCATTCTAGCCAGTTAGTCATCATCCCCACTTCACCTCATCCTCCTGCCCCTCTGGGCTTCGCCCTCCCTATCTCCTTTTGGATGCACCACAAGTTCTAACCTGTGACCTTTCAGTGCCACTCCACTTCTATCATCCCTTTGTTCCCATTCAGATGCCTTTGTTCTGTTTTGGACCCCCTTTGATTTCCTTGTGCTATCATCTCCCTATTATATACAGGCGCTTGTACATACTCGTTTTGGACCTTCAGTCTAAAATCGACCTGAAATGCCCCCTGCTCACCGCCTCTGAAATTAAGGACCAAATGGACAAACAGCAATGGCACAGCACTCCGCATGAGTCAAGGTCCCTCCTTGCTAAGTCTCCGGTTCCCCTCTGGAATCATCTGCCCTTGCCCAGTTCTAACAGATCTTCCACATCAAGATACCACTCTCACTCAAGCCATAACTGTGCCATGCAAGCATCCCATTGATGACAGTGGAATTCATCCTAATTCTACTGCATTAGTCCATGAAGACCAATACTCTGAGACCATTGAAGATGCTGTAGAGGTAGAATTGGATGATGTTTGTAAGCATCTTAATGGAGAAGCCCTCCCTGACGGACTTGTGGAGGTGAATGGTGGTCTTCAGCTGGATGTGACAGCAAGTGAAGGTGATGCAGAATCCATTGGAGAAGATGAGAAATCTAGAAAAAGAGTTTGCCAAGTATGTACCAGTTTCGATTTTTTTAATTACCAATTTAGGAAAAATTGAATTGAAAAATTGCACCACCACTGGGAGCCACCCAAAGACCGTGATGCCGGACATCGCGACTGCAAAGCCACCATGACATGTGACAAACTTCTGAAAAGTGCCCAACTGGAAGGCCTGCATGATGTGTGACTGGTTGTTGGTCATGTTAGAACTGGGCGAGGGCAGACAATTCCGGAGGGGAACCAGAGACTTAGCAAGGAGGGACCTTGGCCTCAGCGACTCAAGCGGAGCGCTGTGCCATTGCTGTTTGTCCATTTGGTCCTTAATTTCACGGTAGGCGAGCAGGAAGTCTCTAGGGGGCATTTCAGGTCGATTTTAGACTAAGGACTAAAACAAGTATGTACAAGCACCGATATATATAATGGAGGGGGTGAAAGCACAAGGAAACAAAGGGGATCCAAATCAGAATGAAGGCATCCAAACAGGAACAAAGGGATGACAGAAGCGGAGCGGTACCGAAGGTCATAAGGCAGAACCTGTGGTACGTCCGAAAGGAGGTGAGGAGAGCAAGGCCCAGAGGGGCAGGAGGATGAGGGGAAGTGGGGATGGTGACTAACTGGCTAGAATGGGAAGAAGCAGCAGTCCAAATAGGGATGAGGGGAAAATGCGAGAGATACATTACAAGTGGCGAAAGTGCTAAAGATGATCTGTGGAGCTTGGAGGTTACAGAGGTTATGGAGGTTACGGAGGCGGGGTTGAAAGTCCGAGGAATATTGGCAATGGTGTTTATGTAGTATGAGGTCACCAATGCAATGGACTAGGGCTGAGGTGGAGTCAAAGTCCGAGGTAGGAGCTATGATGGAGGCTCGGAGCAAAGGTACGAGCAGTGCCCGAGTACAAAGTATGGGAAAGCGGCAGAAGGTCGTAACTTGGCGGGAGGTCAGCAGAAGAGGACCAGAGGGAAGAGAGAGGAGAGAGGGAAGAGGGAAGGAGTGGCGGAAAGGAGAGTTGTCAGGTCCGAAGGTGAGTATCGGAGCAGATGGGAGAAGAGTAGGAGGATGATGGAAGGGTGGAGGAGTAGGAGGAGGATGGTGGGAGGGGTGGTGTTTGGTCCGAGGTGGGTATTGGAGCGGACAGAGATAGGACAGGAGGGGGACGGAGGAGTGGAGGTGGCATGGGAGGTGAGAGGAGGTGTGGTGCCAGGACCGAAGGTGAATATCGGAACGGACAGCGGTAGGGTAGGACTCTGGAGGTGGTGAAGAAGGAGGTCCGGAAGTCGGGTCAGGATCGGGTATGCATGGATATGACAGGTCATGTGTGTACAGTATGCCTTTTACCATACCTTAATACTGTTGCTGTTTTCTGACAGACAAATTAATTCCATCAGGGTTTAGGGTCTTACATTCCACCAAACTGGACATGTGGTGCCCATCAAGAATCTTGCAACAGCAAATGTGTTACAAAAATGGGGCCGGAGGCACCCATTTTCATCCATTTGAGGCACAGGGAAAGGGAAAGGGGAAGGGAGGTGGGACATAAGGGTTTACAGGTGGTTTCACAGATGGTTTAACATGTTGTTTAACAGGTAGTGTGGCAGCGGGTTTTTTGTTGATTATTGATTGGTTAAACTTAATTACTCTACATATCACATGATACAGAACCCATAAGAGTCTAAAATGATAACAAAATGAGCAAGGGAACAAGGCTAACTATTGGCATGGTGGGGGTTTTCAATTTATTTTCAATGATAATATACATTTTCAAATACATTTGAATTAAAATTTTTGACGTGTGCAAAATAGATTTAGTCCCTCTGACCCAGAGACTATCATACTAACATGGGGTTCGGCATTTCCCGAATGACCCATGGATCTTGGACAAGACTCCAGCCTCTATAACTTCATAACAGGGGCCTTCGGTAACAACAACAAAGTTACAGTAAGGTTGTATACCGCCAACTCGCGGATATAGCAAGGCGACTGCCGAGACTTCTGAAATTTGAAAGCGACCCAGTAATCTGTACAGAGATGGAACACAAAGAGGACGGCAGTGGGTAACACGGAAGACTCAGAGCACAGACGCATAAGGAAAAGTTGGGGACATGCAAACAAGAAACAGTCTCGTAAACACCGACAAACTGAACAAGGCGAGAACCAGTGCAGAAAGGCAATCGGGATCCTGCTCGCCGCAGGTAACCGAAGGCAAGACTGAGCTAGTCTAGGCGTAGCAACGCACGCGCCCTGGTCCCAGAACCACGGCACACAAACCTGTAGCTCCATGAAATCTCAATTCATATCATATTTTTAATCTTGTTTTTCCCCTAGTTTCATTTGGACGGACCAACGATAAGCCTGAGCGGCAGTGTAACATTGCTGTGTGTGGAGATGCCAGAATAAAATATACATAGACGCGAAGATTCACAACAAAGACGAAGTACAAATCCGGCGAAGAGGTTGAAACACCAAGCAATCAACAATAAATGACGAAGAGAGGAAAGGTGACGAATAAGGAATGATAGGAGATTGCCTAGCATTTTCCGGAGGTATCCAATAAGTTAGTGATTGGAATTCGAGTTCCAGATCATCACATAATAGAGAATCGTCTAGCGAGCTCTCCTTCCATCGTATCGCTGACACTCAATCCTCTAGCGGGAGAAAGTTGTCCCCTTCTGTCGGATCTGCGGCTCCTGGCTCTCTCACCACGAGAATCGTCTCGCTCTTCCACAAACTCCGGCACCGATCCGCCCAATTCTTTGACCCAGAACTCACTCAACCAAGCCCGAAGTTCCACATCGAGACCCAGATATTCAGCATTAAGTACAAGGCCACGCCACCGTTCCTCAACACTCCCAGGAGAGTGAGCCGATGGAAGTGGAGTAGGAAGCGGAAGGACAGAGCGGCCAATGTGTATTTTAGGCCGAGCAGGGCCATCTAAGACATATGCGGATAACTTAGAGCGATCGCCAAAGTAAAGCCAGTGCAGCAGTGTGGGAAAGGATGGAGGATGAGGAAGAGGGATTTGCGCCGAGGGGAGCCCGAATCGGGACGTTATGAGGCGAGGAGTACGGCGGGCAGGCCAGCGGAAAGGCGTCCATGGAGGATCGAACTTGGGGGTGATGGATGGCATGAAGAGAGAAAGATTAGATGTGGGAGCAAAGAGTGCACGAAATAACGTGGACTGGGGTAGAAGAAACTCAGAATGTAACTAAGCCCATGTGCTTGAGTGGAACTGCGGCGAGATAAGCGAAGCCACATACCAGAAGGACGCGGGACTGGGTCCTCTGAAATATCGAAGGAGTTGGTGCACTGATCCTCCGACGAGCGTCTGGTATGATACCCGCGTAACTTCCCCTGCGGGTTTCTAAAGGGTACCCTGTCACGTTGGTCGTGAGCATGGCCAGTTGACGCCTACCAGGCGGCGGAACCTCCACTTGTATCGGCTGAGGTATCACTGATTTTGGAATTAAGCTGTTCATGCCATCCCAGCATACCAGTAGACTCACGAACTGCGCAGGTGGCTACTTGAGGCCGATTCCAATACAGTGGAGCGAGTTGATTTAGCTGATGGACAACATAACGGACTGGAATTTCTTTTAGGCCAGGATCCTGAGGGAGGTCGAAGTTGAACTCGGGCGCAACTCCCTCGTTTTCACAAGGACGCTCATCATGCGTGTTTCCCATGCAATAGCCTCGTCTACTCAACTGACCAAGGCCCCTTCAAAGAGCGTCAAGGGAAGCCAGGAAGGAGCCCAGTGGGAGAGCTTTAAGGCTTTGTTATGCGTCTCAAGATAGGAGGTGGGTTGTGCCGCGCACTATGCTGGCAGCTCAGAACAAAGAGAGACCTGCCAGCTTGAAGTTATGAATATGCCCCGGCTAGTTGTATGAGTTTAAATTGATCCCTAGCAGAGCCTGCAACGGTCGCTGGTGTATATTTAAGTTGAGCGGGGACCTCGGTGGGCAAGCGGTGAAGAACCCAAGCAGCCTGGAGGCGCCCCATCACGGCTGGCGTCCAACATGATATACTCATACATATGGTTCCGAGAAACAAAAATGATTAACGCCGCAGTAAAAGCCCAGAGAGAGAACAGCGCAGACAGAACGGAGAAAGGACCAGTGGGCACGAATACTGTGGTTGAGCGTCACTCTCACTTTCCTCCACACCGGATTTTGAGTGGCCCGAGCGATGATATCACACGCACTTTCCTCTTCCGACTAATCTGCGTGCATGTCAACGTACGGCTACATTATTCATTCCAACCGACAGGCAGAAGGAGATAGGGTATAAGGAAATAAGAGGGGAAAAGACCAATTGTAATACTAAAGCACAGGATAGCGAATGACTGGGGGGTTAATTAAACGAATGAAGTACTGCAAAAGAAGGTTACTTGTCAGATCTAGAGGTAATCGCAGTGAGGACTTCGGGGCTATTCCAGGAAAGGCACACCTACCTATAAAAGGCGATTGAACCAAGGAATACGACCACTCCTGCCCAATGGAGAATGTTCAGAAAGAGTTGACGCCAAATTTCATCCCGAAGGAGGCCAAAAGCATGTGGCCTGTTCTGATTCAGCCGTCAAACAGATACCAAGTATAGCCTTCAAGGCGTCCAAATCTTGATCGTCTGATCTGTACTCCCAGATGCGCACACATTAACGGGGCGATCTTCCTCTACCTTCTCTCCGCTGGTGGTTCCATTTGCTGTAACTTGTCCCGAAGAGGCGCCAATTCCGGCTTTGGTTCGGCCCCAAGCCAGAGCGGTAACAAAGTGGCCATGTGCCTCGACCGTTTTTATGCATCGGCCAGTCTTCAAATCCCAAACACGGATCGTTTTGTCATCCGCTGCGGAGAGAAGCATGGTGCCGCAGGGGTGGAATACGAGTGCCCGGACCCAATTATCATGACCCGCCTGTAGATGAACTCAACTTTTGCCAATCACTGAAAGGTGAAGATAGAGACTAACTAGGTTCTTAATGCATTGGCCACTTGAGGCATCCCATAACTTGATCGATTTATCCCTTGATCCGGTTGCGAGAAACTGTCCAGGAAGTTTGACACGGTCGGAAGGCTGCGAATCAAAGGTATGTTAACCGGACTATGGATCTCATCCTCGCGGTCAGTCAGGCTGTGTACGCACCAATGCAGCACCCGAAAGTTCCGATAAGCTCGGATAAGACACGACGGGGGCGAACGTGACAACCTCTAAGTAGTTATCGTGGCCACGTAACTCGATCTTTGTTTCCCCCGTTTGCATATCCCATATACGAGCCGTCTTATAAGCCACCCAAACGCATCAGAGTCATTCAAACCAGGTCCCACATGGCCACTGTACCTGATCATCAGAGCAACTGGCCAACAACCGCCCATCCTCCGATGGAGTGACGCATCTCACCCATTGCGAGTGACCAGTCAAAGTTTTAACACACCAGCCATTTGTTACGTCCCATACTTTGATTGTGAAGTCCCGACTGGAGCTTACGATGAAATCGTCCCCAGGAACAAAGCGAGCGGACGATATGGAGTGATCATGACCGTGCAGCGTTCGAGAGGAGTATTCATTTAGAACGTCCCATATTCTTAAAGTCAAATCTGACGAACACGATACTGCGGGAAGGGGACGATGTTAGAAGTGCACTCGTGAGGATAAGTGCTTCGGAGCCTCACCGAGTCGCGCCCCTTTACTGTCATAATGCACGTCAAGAACCTGACGGGTATGGCCCTTCAGGGTCCGCTCGAACTCGCCAGTCTCCCAATCCCATATCTTGATGGTCGCATCTTCGCTAGCACTTGCGAGGACCGAGTACAATGGGTGAAAGGTGACTCGAAGGACCTGCCCTCGATGGCCCGTCAGAGTGTAGCGTGCGGGCGCGCGAGGGACCCAGTCTGCTTGCGAATTGGATCGCCGAGCAGGGGAAAGAGAGAGCTCTTCTTGAAGCTGCGCATTTCGATTTTCAAGGTCCATAATCTGCAGATGCCCAACGAGTGATCAGGCTTGACCACAGCGCAGGATAGCTGAAAGGAACTCACCCGTTTCTGTAACCGTATCACACTTGTCCATTTCTTCTCCAATAAGCCCTTATACTTTGACGTTTCATCGGGCTTGTGAACTGTCCCACTGTCGGCGAGGAAAGCGGAATAGGAAGCGGTCATATCATGTGAATGAAAATAGTCCAAGATCGACTTATGTCTATTCATAAAATGCGCAAGGAAGCGTGCATGTTCGGTCAGTCATGAATCAAAATATCCTCATAACGCCAAGAACACTGGGACGTCGTTGCGACGCGTTGGAGGGAAGGTTGAGAAGGAAGCATTACACATACAGCTCATCTTTCTGTCGCTCCGATAGAGTTGACATGAGATCAATATATACTGAAGCGACGTAGTGGTCCTGTCTATAAAAGTTCCGTAGTGATGAGTGCGACCACAGACCCGCGCTCGTCAGCGTGAAGTCGATCTCGAGGAAAACATATGTCAACAAGACAGATGACACTCACACCGTTGTGTTCTTGCTCGGGCGCTGGAATACCCTCGGTAAATGCGCCTGGTCCGGATCATGCGTCAGCAGGAATGGACTCCTGCGCACGCTCAGGAACTGTCATCCAAATTAGTTCGAACCGTCCAACAAGAGCGCTCACTTTGCACACCGTTATGTATTATACACGAATTACGTGACAACCCCCAGAAACCGTATCGCATGTTTCAAATTCACTATGAATATACCATACCATGAGTGCATAATCTCAAGATGGGGACAAATCTTGATCTATCCCTATTCCTTCTGATTGTTTGTTTGTTTGTTTTATTCTGGATATTTAACCTGCAGAGCTTCGGGCTGCTCGCACGAGCGCCAAGGGCAGGGGTCTCGAGAGAAATACACGCAAATAAAGTAAAAATAACAGGGCATTCCATGAGGATGTGCTCTCGTGTCTCGATGGGTGTGCCGCAGCGGCAGCTTGGGTCTTCGCTAGTTAGGAATCGCTGGTAGTATTGGCCTAGGAAAGCATGTCCGGTGCGTAGTTGGACCAGGCGACTGAAAGTTTTGCGGCTGAGGGTCCTAAAGTGTTTGGAAGGGGAGATTTGTGGCCCGATGCCATTGCAAAGGTAGTATTCCGAACGTCTGAATTGGACAGGGTCAGTGTTCCAACGTTGGGTCCGCACAATCCTGAATTGTGGGAGGGGAGGAAAGAAGGGAAAGGATATAAAGAAAAGAAGAGAAAGGTGGTTCTTCTATCTCGCGTTTGTTTGTCAATGGTCCAACGAGGATGACTTGTTACATATGTGGGCCGTATATTTGTCTATTTGTCAATTACTTATGTAACATCGAACTTCCAGTGTCCCTTGAAATTAATCTTAAAAATCAGTTTACAATATCCTACTAGTAGTAGAAGGCAACTGGTTCACAGACTTTTCCTGAATTTCCGAAGTTGCTTCGGAAATTCGGAAAAGACCGACTGGGTAGGAGTCCAGTCTTATCTCCTGACTTTGCAGTGGTGCCGTCCCTGACACCCCACGACTTATGTAAATATAAAAGGCCGATCTTCCATCGGCGTCAGGAACCTTGTGACCCGCTAGTGGTGTTTACCCGACCTGAGACTTGCATACTGCGGCATTGACCATGGGAACATCCGAGAATAGGGTGACACCATACATGCGGATGCTGAGCTTAACTAGAGCTCCTTTTATGTAAGACCGCGTGAGTCCACCATCGCGCGCGAACCAACGTTCGTCCTCGCTAACCATTTGGAAAGACCGAAATGCAAAGACTCAAAAGATGAGTGGTTGGCAGGATGATCTTATCGGGCAGAAGGTAGACCTGAGGCGGGTTTTCTGGCCAATGGTATCCATTTTCTCGCCATACTGTGTAGTTTTCTCGGGGCTAAACTACCTGGTGAATTGGTTGAGCTTGCGAAGTATTTGCAATGATTGTCATCGCCAATGTAACTTCGTGAGGCATTGACTCACACCTTGCATCAGCCAACCTAGCTAGACATGTCTCCACTGGCATTCTTCAGCATCAAACTGATGTATTATAACACCGAGGGAAATGATACTGAAAACCAACAAGGTATGAAAAATGCAAGCAGTTTCTACACATCCAGATGTGCAGTCAGCAAATGAATTGATCAGTAGTACCCTTAGTTGCAGACCGCAACCTTATAGGTGAGATGGGCCCCTACAAAAGGTGTCATTAGATGAGGAGCGCATCAGACTGGAACATGGCTCACGATTTGTACCAATGGACGCGACATCAACCGTATGGAACCCAGGAGGGAGTGACCATTGGCCCCAAGAAGCGCCGCCCTAAAGTGAAGATAGATCAGACAAATGAAAGCTTAATCGGACGGCAACACAAACCACAATGCATTTCTCGCCAAGATCCTGAGCTGAACATGCATGAACCTCCCCTCCCCTTGGCTCGCTAGTCCATCCGAGGTCCTTACCATCAATCCTCACGTGAAACTTAGCAATGGGCGCAAATACTCCGGAAATCGTAATCACAGATTCAAACGGATTGTCGACGATAATCTGAGCAGCATTTTCGAAAACAACATAATTCCACCCCTCCACGGTGTAGCTCTCGAGGCATCGGGTATATCGCTGATAAGGTGTCGGAGTTGGCCTAATGGCAACGGTTACGGTAGTGGTGACAGGCTTAACAAAAACCGTTTCAATCTCCCTGACTTTCACAGTGGAAGTGTGGTGGTGGTCAACAGTCCGAGTAATGACGTCATGATGATTGACGGTGCGTGTGACGGTGGTAATGACGGGCTTAGCAAAGACTGTTTCGATATCCCAGACTTTCACAGTGGAAGTGTGGTGGTGGTCAACAGTCCGAGTCACGACGTCATGATGATCGACGATCTGAGTAACGGTAGTGGTAACAGGTTTAGCAAAGACTGTGTCAATCTCCCTGACTTTCACAGTCGAGGTGTGGTGGTGGTCAACGGTCTGAGTGACTACATCGTGATGATCGACGATCCGGGTAACGGTGACAGTGGATGGCTTTTCAACAACAGTGTAGGCATGGGAAGGCGAGTAACTATGAGTGGAAGTAGGTTGATGGCCCAATGTTTTGGTGGGAACGAACGCATTGCGGATCGTGATGTCTCCATCGGGAATTCTCTTGGAGAAAACGGCCCATTCAGGATTCTTATGATGACCGTGGTGATGACCAGCCGCAGTGTAGCACGGAAGTGCAAGAGTGGTTGTGCCCTGATGCTCCCAAGTGACTGCAGAATTGTTAATAAACTACTGCCATGATTGATGGATGTTTCCAACGCACGCAGAGTAGCCCACTTGTCAATGGTGCTTAAACCAGCAATTTGAACATCAGGATACCCACTGGGGGTCACATAGGGCTTCGTTACGATCCATAAAGTGAGCGCGACCAGTCCAGATTCGAGGGTAACACTCACCGGAGGCGAGGTAACGGTTTGATGGACAACCGTCGTCCCATGAACCACAGTAGATGTCGGCTGACACCCAAAAACTCTATCCTGAACGTGTTCTTTAGCGGTATCCACACGTTCTTTGATCTCTTCAACTACTTCAAACGGAACTTGGACGAAACTGTGATCAAACAAGTGGTTATGCCAGTGGTGATCACCCAAAGCGAGCACAGGCAACAGGGCTAAAGACAACACGGCTGAAGCGACCATGATGTCTGGATGGAAGAGGGAAAAAGTAAGGATTCAGGAGGGTGATGTTTGGACTTTATAGGATGGGAAGCGGTGGACCCTGGGCGGTGAAACCGTCTGTCTAAATGCAAAAGCCGGAAGTGGTCTGCCGTGACAGCTTTCTGATGTTGGCAATTTGCAAATAATTATATATTGGGATTGAGCAGACAGTGAGTAGACACACACCAGCCGCGTGTTGAATGAATCCGCGAAGACCGAAACACCTGAGGTTTAGAGCCAAGATACCAACATAGATCCAACGGAGAACGTTGAAGCAACAGCACTCGATCTAGTCGTTGTGGCCAGGGTTGAAGGAGAAACTGCTGGCCCACTGAATAAGATCCAATATTATTTAATGATAGCCTCGTAGTTCATGCATTACATAGTTAAGTAATGCAATCTCCAACAAGTGGGTAGACCCTTCAGTATTCATGAGCACGAAGCAAGCCTCGAGGTGCGGAAAGCTCGTGCTGGACGCATATCTGACAGCACAACAATCGGCGCATCTGGGGCGTGTCCGAAGCAACGAGTGTATTGACAGGTCGGCGATTCAGGATTCCTATCACGTGGAGGTCCTGAATATAATTGTAGCGGAGTTCGCCGGACATATTGTATGGCATCAACTGGGTCATTTGCCCTCTGATGAATCACTCTACTATACATACTATGTATTCATCAGATTTCAACTTATGTAACAGCCTAAGGGCCGTTTCGAGAAAAGAGAGAGAGGAGAGTCTTGGCACTAGTGGTCTCCCAGCCTGTTATGAAAAACCGCCACGCAAGTGTACCTGTGGTGGTGGTTGTGCAAGGCACTGATCTGATCTGGTCGTGATGGCGACCAACCGTTCACAATCACACGACGATGAACGACGTTTTCCCTGACAGCCTGCAAGGTTTCTGCAATGCAAATTCCACGGTCCATGGCCAGCGCCAACAGTTGGATAGCAAGAAGGCAGCTCTAGCTCTGAGCACAAAAGGATGTTCATTACATATATTCATATCATGATCGAATCAGAGGGTTCGCAAATTAATGCACATGCACAATGGCAGCCACATAAATAATGATTATGCATGATATGTGTGCAGAAAAATTTAAATTTTCATTCACTCGCGTTTGTGGGGTATAGTGTGAGCGCTCCTTCGAAGACAGACCAGGAAGAATGTCGTGTCAAGACTAATTTTTTGAGTGCGCTATATAAATCACTGGACAAACATCAAATACATAGTTGTCACGTTTCTTTGCTGGGTCATTTTTTTACCGCAACTAGCCAGCTCACACGAAAATCCGAGGGGGAATAAGTAATATTTTAAGTATGCGCTGCACTTGTACAGTTAATTCCCCATACACTTACCCAGTGCTCAGCCTCCTGGTACTAGCCTCGCCGCTGCTTGCGTTCTGCCTCAAATCTCATTGATCAACGTTCTTTCCGATTCGATTGCCTTTCCAGGCGCATGCGCGGAAGCAAATCAAATTACCTTCACTGAACACCTCTTGCAGCGTTTCACGATCCTCTCTTCCTTTTCTGCTCAGACGCGGACAGTCTACAGAAAAATTTCTTTCCATATAGACTTTGTATCATTTGTGTCTACTAGAGCGAATTCTTTTAGAAAACGCTCAGCTGTGGAATTTTGTACTTAGAACCATCGGATGCCGCCGTCCACACCCTCTGCGGGATCCTCTACATCCAACCCGACGTCCATCCAAGTTGGTAAGCGTGCACCTCTTCTTTGCATACCTAGCTTCTTCAATGACTTCTCTCCCTGTTAGCTGTTCGGATACGCCCCCCGACGACCCATGATGCATCCTCGATACCAACTCGCTTCCAACGAACAGTGATTCATCCCTCATCCGCCACGACCCTAACAGTAGACAATGTATCTGGTCCTCCTACTTCCACGGCTGTAGCTGCGCCCCCTTCTCCTGCTGCTTCCTCATCCAAAAAACAAACTTTTGCTTTTGATCAAGTGCATGCACCCGAGGCAACACAATTTCAACTCTTCACGTCCACGGCTGCGCCGCTTGTGTCGCGCTTCGTCGAGGGGTATAACTGCACAATACTTGCATATGGTCAGACATCATCGGGGAAAACGCACTCTATGACTGGGGTCGATTTAGACGCTGACCCAAATGATCCAACCAATGGAATGGGCATAATCCCTCGTGCCATCTCAACTATCTTTGCCAGGGCGAATGAGCTCAAGCGCGAACGCGGCAGCGCATGGCAGTGGAGTCTTAAAGCCTCCTTCATAGAACTTTACAACGAAGATTTGATTGATCTCCTGGCCGTTGGTGACAACGGTATGAAGCAAGACGTCCAGATTCGTGAGGATAAGGATGGTACCATCATATGGGGCGGTCTCAGGGAGATTCCCGTGCGGAGTGCGGCGGATGTCATGGCGTAAGTTGTTAAAATGACCTCGTTCAATGCGCCGACTGATGTTCGTTCAGCATTCTTAAACGTGGTACCGCGCACCGTCGCACAAACGAGACGGATATGAATGCCCAATCTTCCCGTTCCCATGCCATATTTTCAATCACTCTCACTCAGAAGAAATTCAACGGAACTATAACCCCATCTTTCCGGAACGGTCGTTCGTCGCCGATGCCTCCATCTACTCCGTCTCCCTCCAAAATTGCACGGCCCGGTTCTATGGTAATTGGCTCAAGCCGTGTTTCTTCTCCTACCTTTGGCCGGGCGCCGACACCAAGCTTTGCCGCTGCTATGTCGCGTGGTGGATTGAGGCCTTCCAGCGCATTGGGAATGCGTCCTCGCACTCCTGAAGTCGATGAACCCTCCGGAGAGTGGGTTACAGTTGTTTCCAAGTTCCACTTCGTGGATCTTGCTGGAAGTGAACGGGTGAGTTGCCAGGTCTACAGGGGAGACCGAACATTAATTTCCGTTCCCAGCTCAAACGGACTGCAGCACAGGGCGACCGTGTTAAGGAAGGTATATCCATTAATAGCGGATTACTCGCCCTTGGGAACGTCATTTCTGCCCTCGGTGATCCTTCACGGGCCCGTACCATCGGGAACGGCACTGCGATTCACGTACCTTACCGTGACTCCAAACTCACTCGTCTCCTTCAAGATTCTCTCGGAGGAAATGCTCATACCCTCATGATAGCCTGCGTCTCGCCCGCAGAGTGGAATGTTGGTGAGACTGTCAATACCCTCAAATATGCAAACCGAGCACGCAACATTAAAAATAAGGCTGAGATTCGTGAGAAAGAAGATGGATGGGACGATCTGGAGTGGTTGCAAACGATGGTCACCAAGCTTAGGAAGGAACTCAAGGCCTTGAAGGAAGGTGCCGTAACCCCCGTAACAGATACTGAACCTCCTACTCCGACTATTGGTGCGCTTCCAGATAAGGGTGCTGCGAAGGTACTTCGACAGTATGGCGAATTACAGGGGCAGTACCAGCAGCTTAGACGGGAGTTTGTTGAGCGAAATGAGGAACTCGCACGGTTGCGCACTGAGATTGAGGAGAGGAATGCTCCCGTTGCTGGGATGAGCCGTCGGTACGAGGAAATTGTAGGTCCTGTCATCGAGGAGTATGAGAAAACTATTACGGCCATGGAGACGGAGTTAAAGTTGAGTCGAACTGCTTTGGTGAGCCGGATGATCGCTTTCAGTGATTCTGGCCACTAATTTGTTGAACAGGAACACACCAATGAGATGTTCTCAGAACAAGAGAGTGAGTTGGCGGTGCACAAGGAGCGCACGGCCAACGCAGATGGATATATCGAGGCACTCCGTGCCAGGGTTGGGAAGTTAGCTGAAAGGGAGGCTTCCACCGAAGTAAGCTGCCCAACTATCCCCGCGCCCCGACTTCAGCGAATCGTTTACCCGGTCCTGTAGGTTTACGTGCGCGATCTCGAAGCGAAGCTTAAGGTGTTTGCTGACTCGACTACCGCTCATGATGACTCAATTGTCGAGCTCCATAAAGAGATAACTCAATATAAAGAAGCGGAGGCTGCATCGGCAGCGTACATCGCTGGTTTGGAACAGCGACTCGCGTCCGCCGATGTGGACATTGTTTCTCTTCGGACTCAAATTGAGAAGCTCGAGACTGACCTTTACGAAAAGAACGGGATGGTTGCCTCATTGCAAGGTCGTCTGGATAATCTATTGCGAGAACAGGCGGATGCAGCGAGCTGGAAGGAGAGTCTCGCGGAACGTGAAAAACGTGTCGAGGAATTAGAGAAGAAAATGGAAGAGTGGGAGAAGGTTCGAGCGGAAACGGCCGAGGAACGCCGACGTCTCAGCAGCGTCGTCAGCGAGGTGGCATCCGCCCGTCAGTCTCTGGAGGCTGAGGTCAACTCAATAGACATTCCACGACTTCATCTTCCTTCATCCCCTACGACTAGCGTTTCAACGGTCCATGGCTCAAGTTCAGCAGAACAGGAAGTACTCGCCCTTCAGCAGAAGCACTCTGCCACTTTGTCCGAGTTGGAAGAAGTCAGTTCCAAGTATCGCGATGCGCTTCGTGAGATTGCGGACTTATCCGCCCAGATCTCTGAAGCCAAGTTGAACTCGGAAACTTCGTCAGAGGTCGGGTCCGAAGCGGGCGGGAGCCGGATGGTCCCTCGCACACCATCTACAGGTCGAAGACCGCTTCCTCGCCGTGAGACCGTCGATGGGTTGGGCATCCTTAGCATCCCACCTTCACCGAGCGCAGGAACTTCGCGAAGGGGGTTTTTCAGGCACGCGGCCTCCACAGAGGGGCTCCATTCGAGGTAAGCAGTTTCGGCTTAGCTACATCATTTCCCCTTTTCATTCGTAGGCTACCCTCACAGGTCGCTGTCGCAATCACAATCGCTTTCATCGGAGCTCTACTCGGCGCCGTATTCAAGGACCTCATGGGCACAAGGTGACAGTCTCTTGAGTCCTTCGTCTACCTTCCCCCCCAAGGCCTTGCTTCGCCGAGACTCTTCTCCTCAGGAGAGTGGACGTTCTGTAGAGAGCCTCGAGAAAGAAATTCAACGCTTGCAGGAGGTAGGGTCATTGCCATCTACCTCAAACTGTGAAACTGACACATGATGTGCAGGTCCTCAAGGACCGGGAAAATGAGATCAGCATTCTGGAAAAGAGTCTTGCGAGTCCCAATGGGAATGCACTCCATGACGTTCAGGAGGAGGTGGAGCATTCGACCATTTCTGCAGCTGGAGATGGCGAGTTATCTCCTGGTGCACAAGAAC